GGAGTAGCGTGGTCCTGTGAAAATATGTGATTTGTGAAAAACCCTCCAGATATCCCTCATTTTACCCCAAAATCGAAAATCCTTACAACCATCAGCAGGTCTTCCTCGATCTCCTCTTCACACTCCCCTCCATCCCCTCCTCTGATCTGTCTGATCTCATCCTTGCTACCTCACACCTATTCACACCTATTCACACCAGCCTCCTTTCTACTCCGTGAGCATCCAAGCCTTGGCTCCTTTGCACATGCTCTTCCCCCAGGTAAATGCTCTACCACCTCATGCAGGTCTTGATTAAATGTCCATTTATCAGTGAGGCCCTCCAGGAGCACTGAATTTAAAGCTTCACACCACTGACAGTGTCTCCAGTTCTTCTTTCAACGGGCTTTATTTTTCTCCATAACATGTTCTTCATCTAGCATTGCATCATAGTCAGGAGAACAAACTCTTAAACTAGAATGTCTAGTACTGTAAGATAAAAGACCTTGACTTTTCTGTGCCTCCCTTTCTTTGTCTGAAGTGACATAGTTTCTACCTTCTTCCTATTCTGTGTTATATATCTATTTTTTTACCCATTAATTACTTTTATCTTTCTTACTCCCCCATTGGAATATAAATTCCATGAGTCCAGAGTTGTTTTTTTATGTTCTTTCTTGCTTCTAGAACAGGGCTGGGCACATAGTATGTGCTCAATAAGATATTTGTTGATCAAATCTGTTGTTATCTTTGAAAAGAGTAATGGGGACAAGAGTCAAGGAAGACATGAGATTTTATGTGTGCTATTTAAAACTTTTACAGTATTTGTGTAACACTTGTGCCCTCAAAAATTCACAGGCTTACATGAAAAGTAGACTTGTAGACAAATTACACACAGTGTAAGATACAGAGAAACAAGCAGGTGACTGACTATTTAGGGGGAAGGCAGTACAAGCAAGGACAGCTCCCTAGGAGAGATCATGTGAGAGGTGTGTTTTAAAAGAGGCACAGTTCCACTAGACAAAGTGTGAGGCAGAAGGGATATTATGTGTAAAAGTAAAGATACATGAAAACCTAATAGTGTCTCTGAAAACTGGGAGGAAAGGGAAGAGGAGCTTTCATTGTTTTAAGATATTAAAAATTCCATCCTATTAGTCTCCCTCACCAACTCCCATACTCAAATATCTCCAGCCAAGTGTTTGGCTTAATTAGAAGCTTACTTCTGCTTAAAGCTAATATCTTAGCCAGGCGCAGTGGTGCACACCTGTAATCCCACAGCTCGGGAGGCTGAGGCAGAAGGATTG